ATAATAGTGCCAGGAGGAGAAAAAAAAACAAGCGAGAAGCAAGCGGGAGGAGAAAGAAGCAAAAAGTAACCGAAAATGGCTGTAAATTAGCATCCGTCCAGTTGATTTTTGCATTGGAGCGCGATCGAATCAGTCGCGCTACACAACCGGTCGCTACCACTAGACGCGATCGCGAATTCTGAACGCTGCCTTAGGGCGCAGGCAGCGTTCAGACTTCGCGATCGCGCGGCTACTTCAGTGGCCACTCCCTTTTCCAGTGTCTGCCTCCAGAATTGGCCTTCGAAGCCCCATTTCTCCAGCCGAAATGGATGCTCTTACGGGATCTTAGCGTTCACTGCAAGGAATCAGTCGACTGAACTGGTCCCAACGCGCGGTCTTTTAGCCTTTTACCCGTACAAATGTCTGAGGCTTCAGGGCTTTATTCAAGGTGTTGCCTACGCCCCTTCCGGCATTTTTTGCTTCACAGTCACATGGTTTTGTCTGATTCCTTCTTGTCGCGGACCGTGCCTTTAATCATCAAAGAGCCCAAAAGAAGTACCCGAGATTACTCGCCATCTCAGATAGTGGATTAGGGGGTTCCACAAGGGGTTGAGTAACTCGACTGTGAACAAAAAAAGCACAAAAAACATGCCACCTGCCCTAGATAGAACCCCATTTCGATCCCAGTTTGTACGTGCCCAATCAACTCTATCTCCAAAACTACGCCCTCATATGCACGGCTGATTCACCGATAAGATTTCTACGATCGTACAAGTGGCGATTATCATGCTTTTTCTTCTTCTTTTCTCTTTTCTTCTTCTTCGTCCTGCAATCTCATTTTTCACTGGAATCGGTCATTAGGGGCGGAGTCTGGGCGGAGTCACTGGAAAAAAGGAGGAGCCACTGAACCTATATTGCGCTACAGCGCCCCTCCCATAGAATTTTTTGCCGCGAAACCGGTACAAGGTTGTTCGTCGCGGACCACTCTAACCTCCTGACGCCATATTTTCAACTTCGATACCTGATCGCGGACCGTGCCTTTAAGAAGAAGCCTCATCAGCACGAATGCCATTGAGTCGACGTACCCATGGGAGTGGATCTAGATCAGGAGAAGAGATAAATTCGACAATTAATGAGTTAATCATTCCAACAAGTTGCCATACCTCCACCCCCTACCAAACTTGCCCCTTCTAGGACGATTTTTTTGCCCATCCTACCTGACATATTTCTTTCTCAATACCTCGAAAGTTCCCCGTCGAGCGGGTGGGGGAGGTAGTCAACCCACCACTAATAAGAAGCGACTTGACGCAAATGAAACGGGAGAAATCAAGAATTAGAAAGAAAAACGAAGTTGAAGGAGTTTGGAAAATGAAGAGATTAAAATCCTTCCGGACAGAATACGACCCTTCTCTCATCCACGGCCAGATGCGAGTCCTCCCTCTTCAGTGTTAAACACGACACCTGCTTTGCACCGTGGATGGTGCCTGGCTGGGAGAGAGCGCCTCGAATAACTGCAAGTGTGAAGGACCAAGACCAGCAAAGGCACGTGACTCTATTATAACTACTCGGTTTTCCTACAAGTAATGATGTGTTTATGTTTACTAATGGCACGAACCGTGATTGATAGCTCCTGGCATAGTGAAGGAACTTTCTGTTATGATAACAAACAAGGGCGGAAAAAACTCGTTTTGAGGGGGTTGACCGCTGTCTTCTGGCCATATAACTCCACAAACCAAGTAGCTGTCTTCATTTTAGCAACAACTGTTCGTTCGAGAACTTCTTGAAATATTTCTTAATTACTGCTTAGCTATTTTTGACATCTCTGAAAAAAATACACCCGAAAATATTTTTTGCAGATGTTTCTTCTTCTCTTACTGGTTCCGTTGGTAGTTACGGCAAAGGACCAAATGGAATCGAGGTCCGCAGTGTTGCGTCTCGTACAAAACGTGTCCGATGTCAACAGCATGCTTAGAAGCGTTACCTAAGGTTCGACTACTGCGTTCTTTTTCCAAGAATTCGGGTATTTTTTTTACTTGGTTTACCAGGCGTAGCGCTGTAATACCGTGTCAAAACGATTAGGTAGGCCATAGAGCGAAGGTGACAGGTGTGCACATTTGCAAACCCTTCCGTCGCTTCACCGCTATGTGTTTCTTTTCCCTCAGCCGACATCTCCTAGGTAGGAAAAAAACTGCTGTAGGCCATTCTGCCGGTAAAACGAACTCGTAGAAGGGTGAAGGGGATTAAGGGAGACTTTGTTGGAAAGATTAGCGACTTATACGCGTCTACCGAAAGAACTCACTGAGATGGCAATGAGAAATGAGAACAGCCAACTTTATGAGCTCAGTTACACATTTTGTACAGGAGGAAGTGGGTGAAGCAGCATTTACTTTGCTCAGCTTCCCCTGGAACGTTGAACTGCAAGCCACAGTGTCGTCGTCCTACAGCTAATTCTGCTGATTCGCTCTATCTTGCGGTACCGGAGCGGTGGTTTCCGAAGAGCCGCAATGGCTCAAACTTGGAAATCGTGACGATATATACAGGGGGGGGGGGCCAAAAAAAAGTCATTTCGGCCGAGCCACATATCAACGAAGTTTTCGCAGCCCAGACAGGGGAAGTGGATATGAGTACCAGAGTGGAAGATACCCAAGATCTTCCTCTATAAGCTGGAGCAGGCTGCCGCCAATCGCCTTCATGTACGCCAAAATATGAAGTCATCTCCAGTCGCGGCCTGACTGGAGAACACCTTTGGAATTCACGTCGCCTCCAAACAGCTGCGAAACTTCTTGAATGAAGTCATCCACAGATAGCTACCTGGAGGTCAGTACTCTTGATCTGCAAGACCTCCCACATCGAGCAGCTACGTCAACGTCTAGGACATCATCTTCACCGTATTCGCCGAGGCGCGAGTTGATGGTATGGACCGGGGTACCTGGAAAGGGGAAGACCGATATTTTCTTTGTAGACCCCGACTGAAGGTGAGCGCTGGCGGTTACATCAAGTAACTCGAGAAGAATATCCTCCCTACATGTGGTCGCCCGTACCTTCTTGGAGACCTTGTGCTGCTACAGGTTTGGGTGCCACCACATGGAATCAAAGGGTTTTGGAAAAACTCCCGCCTACTTCGAATGGAAGGGCGTTTCGTACCTGAAGAAGATGTAATATTGAAGTATGTCCCCTGACCTGAATCCACTCAGTTACCTAGTCGGGCGGAGTTCAAGGGTGGTCTACGGTGGCGGAGAAATCAACGATCTCGCTCAACTCCGGTACCCACTCACTTTCGCGCGGCCGAATCTCTCGATGGCGCTCCTCCAGAAGGCTGTGGCGGAGTATCATTATAGTATTTAATGTGCTCTTTAATATGGTAGTAAAAATGTCCGATAAAAATTTAATAAAGTGTAACTTATAGCGCCTTGAAAGTCATGGAGGCAAAATGACTTTTTTTGCCCCCCCCCCTGTACTTCAGGCTGGCACAAGCACTGCAGGCTATATTGCACACTCCACCTTTTCGTGATGGTGGAGGTTCTGATAGTTTGCTTGATACTGCTAATAGAAAATGTTGCAGCATATAGTGTAGTTCGTTGCGGACGGTTGGGCGTGTCAGTGCGGCTGCGTTTGGCGCGGTGCCAAACTCGTTCTCCACCAGTTGTTGAAGCGAGCAAGATGTATCATATCGTTCGTATTACTCGTTTTCTACCACTTTTTGTCGCATGCGCGTTTCAAAAAAAGGCAGAGAACTTTTCTGTCGCTGTGCACGCTCATACTGGCTGACACTCCGCAGCGAAGTAGAGTGTACCTGTCACTATTGCCCAAATACACTCAGTCACCCTTTGCTACGCGAATTTCGATTCAAGGCAGTTGGCACGGTAAATCCCTAAAGACGAGTAGGATTGATACGCCTGGCAGGATAGAATTCCGTGACCTCGGACAGGCGCTGCGTGGCGCCTCCTCCAAGGAGGTACCCTTATAACGCCCTATCAAGCCACAATTTTACGTCCCAAACGCCAGCCCGCCCACAAATGGACGACCGTTCCTGGCGCCTAAACGATTCATTCCGTCACTCCGTTCTTTCGCCATTTCCCCACTTTACAGCGCCCTACTAGCATTTTAGGCTTCGTAGGACACCGTGCCAACTGCCTTTAAGCACGCAGCAGGCAGAAGTTTTTTGGAAACGTGGGACAAGTACAACATTTTACATCGGCCATTAGGGACGCTCTGATTACATTGTTGTGCATCACGCTTCACCAGAGAGCATGTTAACATAACGAAGAGTTCACGTAGAAACTTACGGGACTCTTTACTACATTCTTGAAGGTGCGAGGAAGCGACTGTCCTTATTAGGTGAAACTACAGCAGAAGGAGATGCATCCACGTGCGTCTGGATTCTCACGTCCTGAACTCTTTCACGGCTAAGAGCCCTTGATCAGCAAGACCCTTGTGGTCAGAAGCCTTTCTCACAAGAATGTCGAGGTATAAGCAAGTCGAAGCCGGGACGGGACTCGAACCCGCATCTCCCGCTTACCGGGCACTTATCAGAGTAGAACAAAAGCGCCTCTTTTGTCCAGAGACCAGCCTGCAAATTTCCCCATCTAAACTAGCCTGAACAAGCTCTGTCTCAGTTCTCGTCCACCATCATGCAGGACTAGACCCATTTTACCAGTTTCCACTTACGCCTGTTTTCTCTCAATTCTTTCAATGGTCGCGCATCTACTACGTTTGGGCAGAACAGCAAACATTTGAGATTTACTTTGAAATGAGAGAAAACATTACAACAAAACATGGTCTTATCATCTTATCACTGCAAGTTGCATATTGTGAATCAAAAGTGCGAAGTTACACAAATTTCACAAAGAATTACACTGGGCGCAAACGATCCGACTTGAACTAGCTGCAGTCATTGTTTTCTTTTTTCTGACGGGAAGTCGTTCACAACAGAGGGGCGAATTAGAAAGACGGATATAGAGGGGGCATGTTAGCTTAAATCGTAGTGGGAATTACTAGAATAAAGAACAGTAGTGAAGCTAATGCATAAACTAAACTTTCAGGAATGCAGTAAGAATGGGAAGACATATAAGGAAGGAGAGGAGTTCCAAATCGGCCACCTACGTTACAAATGCCAAAAGTATGGTGTATACTCCATTGAAGGCAAGTCTCAAGCCTGACACCAGTTGAATTTTCATCGAATTATCTGAATCTGAATAACTTCAAAAATGATCATAACACTACCGTAATAAACCCCGGACGATTTTGATGAAGCATCCTTAAGAATGACGGTCATGATTGACTCGCCGTCAACCAGGGAGCCGTTCCTATAAGTAGGTAAGGGATACAGGTTCCCTGGTAGATCACCTCATCATTACCGGCAAGGAATCGCGCAAATCTGCATGTAAACGGCAAATTTTAGGATGTCTCACTGGAAAGAACAAAACCATGAAAATCGGCGAAAGCGTGACGATTGACAACGTGAAGTCCCAGTGCCTTGCGAAAGGTAGTTCAGTGTATTACAGAGAAACTGTGAGTTCAATTTCATTACCTCATTTATTAAGACGATCAAAGGCACACTCTGCGATCGTCCAATGGCCATTCGTCCAATGCACTCCTCAAATAGGTAACCTTGGTCAGTAGCCGCCAAAGTGCCGGCTCGAAGGTGCATAGGGCAGGAGCCGCATTTTACACCTAGACTTATAGAAATGCCGGAAACCCTTAACATGATGAAGCCGTTATGCCGTGCTCGTCGTTTTCTGGTCTATTCCCCACGCTTTTCGCTTTATCGCCGCTTCTTACGTCTTGGCTATTTCACGCTTGTCAAGTGATTGTGATCAATTGCAAACAAGACAGTTCTGCAGAAGTCTACCGTCTTCTTATTTTCTATAAGACAGCTCACATCGTTAAAATTGTTTCCGAACCCTATTGTCTACGAACTGCAATAGTAAAAGGGGCCTTTAGGCTACTTTTATGTTTGTGTTCATGCTTTGTGGCGGCGTTCACTAGCGACCAGTAGCGTGTCCAAGCGTTTACCAGCGTCCACGAGTGGAATGTGTAGGGCGGTAGGAAGGTAGCAGACAGCTGGCACCTAATTCCTATCTCCCCATACTATATCAGTCGACTGCCAAACTCCTATCTCCCCCTATACCAGGTGTCTGCTACGCTCCTATCGCTCCGCACTCTCTGCTCCTGGACGCTGGTGGACGCAGGTAGAAGCTGCTGGTCGCTTGTGGACGCTGCCGCGAAATATTAACGTAGCTTCAAGCACCACAAATGGAATAACATAGCACACTGCCTGCAGGTGACTCTATTTTTCCAGAAGGATTAAAAAGTTACCAGCCCATTCCATCTTACTATCTCTTTCTCCGGCATCGGTAACTCTTCACGGATGGTAGGAATGGAATACCGTCAAGAACCTTCGCTTTGCTAACAACCGTCCGAATTCGTGTCCAAACGTATCTACCTTTTCCGCGTGGATCCCGAGAGCGCGGCATATTAGGCTGATGCATATGTTTTTAGCCCTGACTTTTTTGTAAATATCTCAATAGCGAACCAGCCTGAAGATTAGAGGTATGCACCATCACCATCCACTACTCGACGCCAACGCTCAGGCAGCTTGTCGATTCCATCCTCCCAGAAGGACGGGGGCTGGGACCCGAAGAAGGCCACAATGCCGCACAATCACCACTGTGACATGATTTCACAGTGGTAATTGTGCGGCATTGTGGCCTGCAAATGCAGGCAGGTGAGTGAGAGCTAGTGTGAAAGATTATCATGTACAACACGTGATGACGAAATACCAACAGCCATGCAAAGGATTAAAACAGGCGGCCAGAAACATATGCATCAACCTAATATTTCAAGGGAAAGCAGGCAGACCACTTCGTCACATTTGATCTCTTTGTAATAATTTTAGTTCGACTTGTTTTATAGGCCGTGTCCATAGCCAGCTTATTTGAGCTGCTCCGTTTGCCTTTAAAGTAGTCAGGTTTGTGACTTCAGGCGCGAACGGGCTTGGAGGAGACACCAAATGGTACCAGCGAAACTTGTGCAGGCCACATTGCGAAGTCGTGTGGAATTCCTGTGTCCAAAGTGACTTGCTCGTACCGTTTCGCAGCTTCACAGGATTCCGCAGGTCTTGCTTATGTGAAACCTGTTAGCTAAATGAACCAAAATGAACCAGGGAAAAGCAACGAGCGAGAGTGCGGAGTATGCCCTCACCCTCTCCCCTTCGCCCCGGACAGCCCTCCATTAAACACACTGATGACAAGAAAGTAGACAAGGCTCCTGACCTTGTAATTGGCCACACCAACAGATGACGACAGATGGTCGCTGGAAGTGCCATCGAGGCAACGGCGGTATCGTTTTTTTGGCGATGATGGTTCTCTCGCCCTTATCGCCGAACGTGCGTCTAGGGTTTCTTCAGCCGCATAGCCGTCAACATCGACTGCGAAAAACGAGTCTTATCTGGAGCTTTTTCAACGGTTTCTTGCTCGCTTTCCCGATGACAGATATTTCTCCACATAATAACAGGTTTATATATTTATATAAATCCCGCATTCTGCTCGAACAGTGAATTTGACGGCAATTCATACGCCAGACTTGTTGCTATCTGAAAATCCAGCTACGGCGAAGTAACAATGCAACATTCAGGTATGTGGAATCCTGGGTCAGCCGGAGTGCGATAAGGTTGACCTGCCATCAGGTTTCAAAGAAGCAGTGGCCAGAGAGCAGTCACGGCCAAAAGAAAAAGAGGTAGATGGCCAAATTTTTATTACGCGTTTTATTACGCGTTTTATTAATCCTATACATCTACTAGATCCAGATCAACGTTGAGGGACTCCCACCAGGTTGGAAGGTCGTTGATCAAACGGTCCAAAATATCCCTGGATCGGGCGGAAAACAGGTCTTGTCGAGGACTCTGATGTTCCAGCCAATACTCACAGGGAGTTCAAGGTAGGTCTAGTTCTCATCTGGTCACTCCTTCACAGGGTTTGAAGAAATCGGGGAAAAGTAGGCGCCATCTGAATTTTATGCATCTCTCATAATGATAAGTGAACCATCCTCAGAGCACGACGCCAAACCGGTCGAGGCATTGGATCAGTCGTCGGTATCGAAGATGTCGGGACTGACAAACCTCCGATGCCTATGAGCATGTTACTCAACGGTGCCAAGGTAACTCAGGTCAGTTGAATGATAAAACAAGCTCAATGTATATTTACCGACTTGGCTTTTCAGAGCCCTCACAGCGGGAAGAAAGAGAACTCGTCGACTATTCAACACGTTTCACAAGGACTTACTATTACGGAGAAAAGGTTCAGACAGACGCTTTTCACCTAAAACATCGCCGCATAGTTCTCTCCATAGAAGAAAAAAAGTTATGGAGAACACCGT